GCCAGTGTGGCACCAGGGCTTCTGGGAGCTGATTTCAGGCCTCACCAGACCTGTTGAAACAGAATCTATGTGTTACCCAAATTCTCAGGTGGTTTTTTATGGTGCACTGAAGTTTGAGAAGTGCAGTTCACCTAGCCCCTTTAAGAGCAGCCACATTGCATAGTTTATTAACCTCTTAATGCTTTGCAAGGTGTCCTCTTTAAATGTTTGTCTAATGAACAACACTTGTTTTATTCAGCATATTTAATGAATATATGTTGTTGTTGTGTGCCGTGGAGTCAGTTCTGACTCATAGCGACCCTGGACAGGGTTTCCAAGGCTGTAAATCTTTACTGGAGCAGAAAGCCTCATCTTTCTCCCGCAGAACAGCTGGTAGTTTCGAACTGCTGACCGTGAGGTTCGCAGCCCAATTCGTAACCACTACGCTACCAGAGCTCCTTAATGAATATATACTGCATGGCAAATCTTGTTCTAGGAAGAGGAATCATCAATAAACTAGGAAGATAAGCTTCCTGCCCTTATGAAAATTATAATCTATGAGAAGAGATAAAAAAAAAACCCATGTAAACAAATAATTACAAATTTCAGATATTAGTATAAATAAAATGAAAGAGGGCAGTGGGGTAAAATAGGGAAAGGGGGCATGGAGGAGGTCTGTTTCAAATGCAGTTTGGATTAAGGCCTGTTTGAAGCCATCCCAGTTAGGCTGAGGCATGAATGATAAGGCGAACTCGCTCACCTTGTTATAAGTACAGAAAAGTCTGGCATGAAAAGCAAGATAAGCTGGTGGTATAAAGTACTCAGGTAAAAAAGGTAATCAGGGCCTAAATTATACAGGACAGCGAGTCACAAAATAATATAAACTATACTCAGTTCTGAAAATAAACCATACTCTAACTGAAATGTAAAGAAGAAATAAAAGCATTGTAATCTGCAATAGGTATGGTGCTGCGGGTTAATGCACTGGACTACAAAGTCTGTTTGAACTTAAAGGTTGGCAGTTCAAGCTCAGTAGCTGCTCCTTGGAAACTTTACGGGTTGTTATGGATCAGAACTGATTTGACGGCACTTAGCCACAGCAATCTGTAATAAGTAATTACTATTTCAATACGTTAGCTTAGAGCAATATTAGACAACATAATAACGTAGTCAGAAACATCTTAATACATAAAAGCACTGTGCATGTGACAGCTGCAAATACAGATTGAGACAGTGAATTGTATCAGTGTTCCAACATGCTCTTGGTGACGTGGTTTCTAAAACAGTGGCTAACTTAAGGTAAGGTTTGAGACAAGTTGAGTTTGATCTTTTTGCTGTTTTCACAATGGTTACATTCAAGAAAATCTCATGTATAATAATAGTAAAAACATACAAAAAGTGCTTTCTTTATATATATGCGGGAACTTCAAAAATTTTGTGGGAAGATTTCATTATCTTTTTAATTCCATTTTTTCATGAATTTTTGGAAGCGACCCTCTGTAATGGAGAGGATTCTAGGCAGTTCAATAAGCACTGAACTGCAGACCACAAGGTCACCAGTTTGAGCCCACTAGCTGCTCCACAGAAGAAAGAGAGCAAAGATAAACAACCTCAAGAACCGTATACAGGGTTGCTATGAGTCAAAACCAAATTGACAGCACTTAACAACAGTAATAAAACTTATACTCAATGGGGTGGGGTCCAAGAATCCTAAATGTTCTGTGTTGCATTGAGTAGCCCCACACAAGAATGCATTCTCTAACATACTACCTTACCTGCAAATAGTCCACCAGATATTCCTGCTCATAGACCACCCGTATGTGTGAATGTCAATGTTGTTGTTCAGTGCTGTTGAGTCGGTTCTGACCCATCGCGAACCTGTGTAGGGTTTCCAAGGAGCAGCTGGTAAGTTTTAACCACTGACCTTGTGGTTCATACAGTTTTTCAGTCTGGCACATCAACCCACAGCACCACACCAGGACTCCATGAATGTCAATTGTTGTTGTCAGGTGCCATCGAGTTGGAACTGACTCATAGCGACCCCATGCACAGCAGAACAAAACAATGTCCGATCCTGGGCCAACCTCACTACCACTGCCACATTTGACGCCATCAATGATACCACCTGCCTGATCCATCTCATTGGGGGTCTTCCTCTTTTTCTCTGACCCTCCACCTTACCAAACATGATATCCTTCTCCAGTGACTGTTCCCTCCTGACAATATGTCCAAAGTATGAGAGATGAAGTTTGGCCATCTTGGCCTCCAAGGAGCACTCTGGCTGCACTTCTTCCAACACAGATCTGTTGGTTCTTTTGGCAGCCCATGGCACTTTCAATATTCTCCTCCAACACCATATCTCAAAAGCATCAATTCTAATGTCTTCCTTACTCACTGTCCAGCTTTCACAGACATATGAGGTTATTGAAAATACCATGGTTTGGGTCGGGCGCACCTTAGTCCTCAAGTTGACATCCTTGCCCTTCAACACTTTAAAAAGGTCTTGTGCAGCAGTTTTTCTAGTGCAATACATTGTTTGATTTCTTGACTACTGCTTCCTTGAGTGTTGATAGTTGATTCAAGAAGAATGAAGTCTTTGACAACTTCAATCTTTACTCCATTGATAAGAATGTTGTTTTTTGGTCCATTGGTGAGGATTTTTGTTTTCTTTACATTGGAGCCATTGGCTGGTTCCAAATGGATGGGAGACTCAGGAGACATTCTTTGGCTTCTGTATGGAGAGCAGATTGCACGGAGATAGAATCAGCTAGGAAGTATATCTGCTGGAGCAAGGATGGACAAAGATGCAGGTACTGGAATTAATCTTAGAAGCAAGAGGAAAACATCTTAAATGAACATAAGAGAAGGAGAAAAGAATGGATGATATAAATATGAGGGGTCTTCAGAAAGTACATGGAAAAATTGAATTAAAAGATAATGAAATTTTTCCATGTACTTTTTGAAGCATGGAAAATATATTGATTCTAGCTTAGTATGAATGGCTTTAATCCTTTCAGTAAAACAAAAAAGTACTGTTATCTGCTGATTGGGGCTGAAAGGTGGGGATTTGAGAGTAGAAGAGATTGGAAGTAGGTGTTATGAAGAATACATTGTTGTTGTTAAGTGCTGTTGAGTCGGTTCTGACCCATAGTGACCCAGTATAGGGTTTCCAAGGAGTGACTGATGAGCTTGAACCACTGACTTTGTGTTTCAAATGACTTTGCAATCCAGCGCATTAGCCCACAGCTCTACACCAGGACACCATGAAGCATATACCAGGTAATAAACAGAGAATGAAAAGATTTGGTAGCAGCAATGAAAACATTTAGCAAGAGTATAAAGTGTAGTCAAATGGCTTCATTGTATAAATTTATGCTGTCTGTCTTAGCAGATAAGACCAAGGAAAGGGTTGTCTAGAATTGATAGGTTAATATAGTGTCTAAGAGTGAAGAACCCAAAGGTTCTAGTGAGGCCACAGTTGAGATAGTTGAAATGGCTGATCATGTCATTCAGGCTAAAGCAGAAAGCAAGTGAAATCACTAGGGATTAAAAGACCAAAGAAGATAGGGAAGAGGCAAGGGATCTGAAAGGAGATCACAGTGCGAGCGGAGAGGTCAGTTTCAGTGGGAGAGAGTTGGGAGAATTGGAAGTCATTGGAAGAAATGTCTCTGAGTTTGAGACTTAGAAATAACCCAATTTAAGGGAGGGTGAGGTTCAGGTCTGGTAGTGCTGATGAATAGGTGGAATAGAATGATGGTGAAGCTCACTAGATGTGAGAGTCAGCAAACTGAAAACCCAAGAGTAGGTCTTTGTGAGCCAGATTTCATTATGTACCTACCAGAAATATGCTTAGTATTCTAAATGTGTATACATCACATTTACAACTCTGCCAAGTAAGGTATTTTTATCCTCATTTTACAAAGATTAAGATGCTGAGGCAGAAGGCAGCATAGAATAGGGATGTCAGACTGCCTGGGTTTGAATCCACTTCTACAATTTACAAGCTGTGTCTTTAGACAACTTGTTTCTACTCTCTGTGCCCTGTTTTCTAATCAGTAAAATGGGGATTATAGCAGTATTCCTACCTCCTAGCATTGTTACAAGAATACATTAGTTCATATTTGCATAGTCCTTATAGAACAACACCTGATACACAGTAAGAACCATCTGAGTATTAAATAAGCGTAACTAGTAAGGGTGAATGCCTTAGTGGGTCAATTGTTAAGCTCTTAGCTACTAACCAAAAAACTGACAGTTCAAACCCACCAGTTGACAGTTTGAATCTCATCAGTTTTTGTGGAAGAAAACTGTGGCAATCAGCTTCTGTACCAGCCTTGGAAACCCTGTGGGGCAGTTCTGCTTTGTTTTGGGGGGTCACTATGATTCAGAATTGACTTGACACCACACAGAAACAGTAAGGATGAGAGTTAGGATTCAAAAGGAGATTTGCCCATGCCAGCCTCTTCCACTGCAGCCAGAAAGGACCACAGCTTATTATACAAGTAATTATGTGGTACTTTTGTCCAAGATCTAGTCTCCTTACAAAGATGAGTCTTATGCCTGGACATCCCTATGTGTACACTTTTAATTACAAAATTCACTTGTGGCACGTAGTTCAACATTAAGCACACGGGTTAGCAATTTTTACCCAACTGTATATGTGCAGGGCAAATATTTGTAGTATTAACCATTACATTTTTGCACATACTAAAAGTAGAGTTGAATGCAGAGAATTATGTATCCTCAGTATGGGCAGCCATGTCAACAGGAAAAAAACCCAACAACACTTTTATGCTTTAATTCACAAGGTAATAGACTAATTTAGTCAGTTTTCTGTGCCTCATTAGAAATTGAATCACCCTGGAAGTCAGTGATTGGTTCTGAGAATATATGATCACCCCATTGAATACAGGCTGTCTCATATGGTCATTTTCCTATTCATTATCTTGTAAAGTCAACAGAAGAGTATTATATTGTTAATATATTAAGAATAATAAAAATATATTCTTATTTTATTTTAGATTTTATGTTTACAACAAAAAGAGACGTCTGGTCAACACACCTTATGTCGATAACTCCTACAAATGGGCTGGTGGTGGATTTCTGTCTACAGTGGGTGACCTTCTAAAGTTTGGGAATGCAATGCTGTATGGTTACCAAGTTGGGCTATTTAAGAACTCCAATGAAAATCTTTTACCTGGGTATCTCAAACCAGAAACAATGGCGATGATTTGGACACCAGTCCCTAACACAGAGATGTCTTGGGATAGAGAGGGTAAATATGCAATGGCATGGGGTGTTGTTGAAAAGAAGCAAACATATGGTTCTTGTAGGAAACAGCGGCAGTATGCCTCTCATACTGGAGGTGCAGTGGGTGCCAGTAGTGTCCTGCTGGTTCTTCCTGAAGAACTGGATGGAGAGGCTACAAATAACAAGGTGCCCCCACGAGGAATCATTGTGTCTATCATATGCAACATGCAGTCTGTCGGCCTCAATAGCACTGCATTAAAGATTGCTCTGGAGTTCGATAAAGAAAGATCTGATTGATACTTAACATCCCAGGTGCCGTGCTTGCTCCAGCAGCACATATACTAAGGCCATAGGTGCAAAATGAGCTGTTTTGGATTTTTGAAACATTGATGTCCCTAAAGACAAGATTTTTAAGTCTACATTTTTGATAGAATATAATTGAATGCAGAGAATTACGTACTTCTAGTTACTTCATTTGTAAATGTCTTTTATTGTAACCTTAGTTCTTTATACTCAGGGAAGTAACTGTATTGTTTTTACTTTTTAAAATTGGTAACACTTGAAATAAAATATTCTGATTAAAAATATGTAGGTTTTGAATGTTATGAAGAAAATCCCATTTAACCGAAGCTTTCAAATACTTTTCTTTCAAAATGACAGCAGAAACAAAATGACAAGGAATGGTGTAGTCATTATCTTTCGCTACACAACAAATTATCATGTTACAACAAACATTGTTTCAGTTTCTGTAGCTCAGGGTTTGGGGAGTAGCTTGGCAGAGTGAGTCAGGTACCAAGTCTTCACTGGGGTTGCAGACTAGCTGTTGGTCAAGATTGCAGTCGCTTGAAGGCTTCTCTGATACTGAAGACCATGCTTCTAAGATGGCTCACTCACATGGCTGCTGGCATTAGTCCTCTGTTCCTCACTAGTGTTGGCAAGAGACTTTAGTTTCTCACTGTATGGGCCGTTGTGTAGGACTGCTTGAGTGTCTTAAGGGCATGGCAGTTGGCTTTCCCCAGAACAACTGATCCAAAAGAGAGAAAGGACAAGACAGAACTCAGTGTCTGTGATAATATCTGAAGCATCAAAGGAAGATGGAATACGAAGTCACTAGAGCAGAAAGAAGGAGTGCTGGTAGCGTAGTGGTTATGAATCAGGCTGCTAACCTCAGGGACAGCAGTTTGAAACTACCAGCTGTTCTGTGGGAGAAAGATGAGGCTTTCTGTTCCCGTAAAGATTTACAGCCTTGGAAACCCTTTGCAGGTCACTATGAGTTGGAACCGACTTCACAGCACATAACAACAACATAGCAAAAAGAATTGGGCAGTAGTCAGCCATCTCATGAGATAATGTGTTCAACAACCAATGGTACTGAAGGAAGAAGTCCAAGCTGCACTGAAATAATAGGCAAAAAACAAGGCTCTAAGAATTGATAGGGTACCAGTTGAAATGTTTAAGCAAACAGATACATCACTTGGAGGTGCTCACTCATCTATGCCAAAAAAATTGAAAGTTAGCTACCTGGTCAACTGACTGGAAAAGTTCGATATTTCTGCCTATTCCAAAGAAAGGTGATCCAATGGAGTGCAGAAATTATCAAACCAATATCATTGATATATGCAAATCAGATTTTGCTGAGGATAATTAAAAAATGGTTGTAGCAGTACATCCACAGAGAAATTCAAGTTAGATTAAGAAAACGAGGTGGAACAATGGATATCATTACTGATAGCCAATGGATCTTGGTTAAAAGCAGAGAATACCAGAAAGATATTTGCTTGTGCTTTATGGACTATGCAAAGGCATTCAACTGTGGATCATGACAAATTATGGTTAATATTAAAAAGAAGGCATTTCAGAACACTTAATTGTGTTCATGAGGAACCTGTACACAGACCAAGAGATAGTTGTTCAAACAAAGCAAAGGGATACTAAATTATTTTAAATCAGGAAAGGTGTGCATCAGGGTTGTATGTTTTCACCACACTTATGCAATCCGTATGCTGAGCAAATAACCTGAGACACTGACTATGTGAAAAAGAACATGGCATCACAATTGGAGAGGGACTCATCATTAACCCATAATAATCATGTTTGGTAAGGTGGAGTGTCAGAGAAAAAGAGGAAGACCCCCAATGAGGTTGGATTGGCATAGTGGTGGCTTCAATGGGCTCAAACGCGGCAACAGTAGTGAGGTTGGCAACAGTAGTGAGGATCGGGCAGTGTTTCGTTCGGCTGTGCATAAGGTCACTATGGGTCGGCACCTAACAACAACAGCAACATACAGATAAGACAACCCTCCTGAAAGTGAAGAGGATATGAAGCCCTTACTGATGAGATCAAAGACACTGTAAAGAAAATAAAAATCCTCACAATTGGACCAATAGACAACATCATGCTAAACAGAAAAGACTGAAAGCGGTCAAGGATTTCATTTTATTTGGATCCATAATCAACAGCCAGAGAAGCAGCAGTCGGGAAATCAAATGATGTTTGGCATTGGGCAAATCTACTGCAAAAGATCAAAGGGTTAAAAAGCAAAAATGTCACTTCCAGGATGAAAGTGTGCCTGACCCAAGCCTTGGTAGTTTCAGTTGCCTCATATGCATGTGAAAAGCCAGACAGTGAATAAGGAAGACCAAAGAAGAATTGATGTATTTGAAGTTGGCAAAGAATATTAAATAATACCATTGGGCTTCCAGGGAACTCACAAATTTGTCTTGGAAGAAGTACAGCTGGAATGCTTTCTAAATATTCCTTTACATGTACTTCAGAGTTCTAGAACCATCCCCTGAACCTGCTTCATCTGGTATTCTGTAGTATTACTAATGGAGGTCCTCACTGCACTTCTCCCCAATCCACTGTCAAGTCTCGCCTCTCCTCATTTTCAAGGTTGGCGATTTAAACCCACCAGTCACTCCTTGGAAACCCTATACAGGGTCTCTGTGAGTCAGAACCAAATCAACCGTACTTAAACAACAAGTATAGCATGAATCCCCTTTCCTCCGATATCCAAAAATATTTTCATTATTTTCCTTTAAGTCCACATCTGCACCTCCTCAAAGGCTTCTAAACACTTTCTTTAAGGCTTTTCAGGATTTCAGTAACATTCATTTCAAAGTTCTTCATCCACCCACTCCAAATCTACTCCATTCCAAATTCTAACTCCAAACTCCCACATCTTAGGTTTTTATGATGACAACATTCCCAGGCACCAAAATCTGTATTAGGTTTTTTTGTATTCCTGATTTTGTATGTTTTTTAATTATTGACATGTAATTCACAGTTTGTATCCTATACAATTCAGTGATTTTTAATAGAGGAGCTGTAACAGACTGGTATTGGCCATTTTGAACATGACAGTCATATGGTTTACTATGCTGGAAATGATGTATTAAAAAGAAATGGTGTCACATTCATCATCAAAATGAATATTTAAGGATATATCTTGAAGTATAATGCTGTCAGTGATAGGATAATATCCATACGCCTACAAGGAAGACCAGTTAATACCACTATTATTCAAATATACATACCAAAAGCTAAAGCCAGTAATGATAAAATTGAAGAATTCTACCAACTTGTTTAGCCTGAAGTTGATTAAACACTCAATCAAGATGTATTGATAATTAGTGGAAATTGGAATGTAATGGTTGGAAACAAAGGTCAGTAGTTGGAAAATACAGCCTTGGTGATAGAAACACTGTTGGAGATCACATGATAGAATTTTGCAAGATCAAGGAATTTTTCATTGCAAATACCTTTTAAAAACAATAGAAAACACGACTATACACCTAGACCTTCTACAGTCTTCCTTATTCACCGTCCAGCTTTTGCAATCATAATGAGATGATTGAAAGTACCATGGCTTGGGTCAGGCACACCTTATTCCTC